AGGTTCTGACTTTCATTACGAAGACTATAAATTTAAAAATTTCAGTCAGATAAGTTGGGCCTAGGTTGTTCTTTATTTTATATAATAAGTAAATCAATTTTTGTTTTATTCTACGATTAGACAGCGATTCATACCCACGCTCTTTGAATAAATTGTTTTTAGATGAATTTCTTCTAAGGCCAGTTATTATTCTACCTGCTTCAGTTTGAACACTTTCCAATAGATCAGAATCCTTCTTTGAACAGTTATCCCATACAATATCAGCATATTCTTAAATCGGGCGAATAACAGCAAGATAAATTTTATTAAGTGAAATTCTATTAATTTTCTATTTCAGTATGCGCAAAATGTTTAGTCGACCACAAGCTTTCTGGTATATATTTGAAATGTGTTTTGACCATAGTGCATTTGATTAAAATGTTAATCCAAAATGACAATGAGTACTTACGTTTTCAACTTTTATGTTTCCGAAAACAACGTCTGGATGGATTGTATTTTTTTCAAGTAAAAGTAATATTTTTAGTTTTATTGGGGTTAAAAGTTACACACCACTGTTTAGCCCACGATGAGGCATGTCTTTAGTAAGGATCATTATGAATAATTGTAAAAAGTGAAGTATCATCAGCAAATAGTCGTATGTTATTGTTGGAGATATCATTTAAGTAAATCAAAAAAAAATAAGGACCCAATACACTTCCTTGGGGGACTTCAGAATTAGAGTGCAAATAATTTGATTTAAAACCTGCTAAAACTACGCATTTTTATCTATTCCTTAAATAGTGTTCAATTCATTTAAATATTTTTTTTACTAATTCCACATTGTTTCAATTTAGTCAATAAACCTTCATGCCAAACTTTATCAAACGCTTTTGATACATCACAAACTATAAATCGAATTTGCTTTCCTTTATCAAGATTACGTATCATAACATCATTAGCTGCGTTCACACTGCATGCGCATTGAATGCGAATTCCGGAAACCGGCCTCCGGAATTTGGATTGGGTTTTCCCGGTTTAAAAGCGGTGCGTCACATTACAGTTTATTCGGATTGAATTCAGAATGAAAAGCGCCACCCTGAATGCGCCGTGAAGGTCATTCATATCCAAGATGGATGCACCAAACATTCGTATTGGTGATCTTATGTTGCTTATGTGTAATTTCCTGAGGCAATCAAGGCTACATCAGCGGGTCTTACATCTTCGACACCTTGCCATGCAGCGCCGGGCACGATTTCGTTGGCACCAAAATCAAATGCGAATGAGGATGATTATTCTTTTGGTAGCGTTGGCTATACATTAACACGTATGTACATGTACTTCACTCTTGGCTCTGTACTAGCGAAGATACATTTCATAATTGAGATGTTATGAAATGGGGTTAAACTTCCTACTGTTCTGGTCCGACTGGGCTTATAAAGACGGGTATATACCATTTTCCCAGGACAGTGGCGCTACGGCCTACTATCAAGAGATTTTTTACGTCAATGTGTACACGGGAACTCTGTCTTTCGCCCCAACGAACGACTAGACTTTAGTGTGTTGTAAATGTTTGCATTACTGACTAAAGGTTAGGTATGCCACAACCCCTGTTGACTGCTCAGAGGACTTAGCTGCTGGGGACGTATGTTTCGTTGGCTGACAACTTATCGTTAGCTGGTTATGTTACCGTAGAATTTGTTTCAGTGACGAAGGGCAACAGCTATTTAGGCTACACCCCAACATGCGCGCAAAGTTATCGTTTCTGATAAAACTGTTGATCTGAATCAAGCGTGTCACACTCAAATCTTGACTGCGAATAACCCGATTCGGAATTATTGTTCCGGTTTGAATTCGGAAAAATATACGGATTCGTTAATTCAGATTCAGTTCGGTTTTTGTCGAACTGAGTGTGACGCCAATGTCCGGCATAAGACTTTATTCTGAATTCAATTCAGATTAAACCCCTAGTGTGAACGCAGCTATAGATTTCTAAAAGTTTTGTAGAATCGTTAGGTTGAAAACCAGACTGATACTTATATAACAGGTTATTTTCTTTTTTAAAATTATAAAGATTTTTGAATAAGATTTTCTCTAGTATTTTACATTAAATGAGCATGTTAATGAAGTTGGTCTATATTTGTCAGGGTAATGCGGATCACCCTTTCCTGTATACGCTTCAATGATATATGAAGTCTTTCAAAAATCAGGTAATAATTGAAGTTCTAATGAAAGATTTAAAAATTTAGAGAGGGCTGGTGATTGGGGAGTTAACTTTTTCAGTACAGAAGGCTTTGAGCAGTTAAGAATTAGTAACTGGTCTTTTACTTCTTGTTCATTTATAATAAATGTCTGTAATTCGTTGTTACTGCGAGAGGCAAAGTTTGGAAGGTCAAGTTCATCATTTAATTTTGAAATTGAGGCAAAATAAGTGTTAAAGATATTTGCCTTATCAATACTAATGACGAGATGGTTACCTTTTCATTATCAAAAATTTGTAATAGATTTTGCTATTTTCCGCCATTTATTTGGTGGTAGGGTTTTAATATTTATTTCTTTTTCTAATTTGTCTTTAAAATTATTTTTAGCTTACCTGATTAATGTTACTACTTCATTTCGTATTTTTCTAAATAAAAGCCAAAGCCAATGATTAGAATTATTATTATTATTTTTTTTTTGGGGGGGGGGGGGGCGGGGGGCGCATTTGTGTGCACTATTTCGTTTTCGAATTTGTATACGTATAGCGTTATTCATAAATGGCTTATCATTTGGCCGTATAGTTACTACTTTTGTTGAGATATACTGTATTAATGCTTTATTTAAAACGGCTAAAAACTTGGATAGACTTTATTGATATCATCATTATTAAAGACGTGATTTGTCCAATCGACAGTTAATAATTCGTTATTTAAACCTTCATAATCTGCAAGTTTATAATTTCTAATAGTTCTTTTGGTATTCTAATTGTTTTTATGTTTTTATATTTAAAGATAATATTATTGGTGAATGTGTACTGCATATAGGAGCATTAACATTATAAGTGATTTCTTATTAGTAATAAAACGATCAATACATGAACGTGGTAGCGTTGTGAAATTAGTCGGTTCTTTTATCAGATTTTCAAGATTTAATATTTGTAATAGTTTTTTAAATTTAGCACAATTACTTGAATTACTTAAAATGTTGATATTAAAATCCCCTGTTAGGACAAGAAAGGAACCACTGTCTAATGCATTTGATAACGTATCATAAAATATATCGCAAAAGGCAACCCTTGTATTTGGAGGTCTGTAAATTACACTGAGTAAGAATTTGGTATGATCATTAAATATGTCTATAAATATTAATTCAATATCAGTGTTTATGAGATTATGTCTAATCTGAAAGTGTAGATTATTTTTAATATAGACAGCAACCCCACCCCCATGCCTGTTTCTATCAAATCTAACAGGACTTTTATAACCGAGCAGTAAAATCGATGAATCTTTAATAGTGTTGTCTAGATGAGATTCAGTAATACATATTATATCATGGTTAAAGAATTCTGCTTCAATTATATCTTATTTTGGCAATAGGCTACAGACATGTATTATTGTGAACAATGGAAATGTTATCTGAACTTAATGTATTTAACGGACCAGGGTTTTGTTCTATGCAGCCGACAATTAGCAAAGTTTTAATTATAAGCAAGAGGTGAATATTTATAACATATTACGAGATAGGATGTAAGATCACATACAAGGTATGTTGATTGTTCCGTTTGAGAGGCAAAATATCATTAATTTCAGTCGTGACTGTCGTTAAATAATATTTTGCGTTCACATGTAAAATCGGAGCAATCAAACATATATTTATATCTATATATTTATGTATCCATAGAGAGAGATGACTTTAAACTAAAAGTTACTTTAAATATGAAATTGTGACATTTTACACTCCAAGAGGTTTGATAAATGGACTACTGAAAGGTGATAAATAAATTTACAATATATTACAAAACAATAAACAAAACATCAAAAAAATTAGAATATTTACAATCACAGTTACGAATCAATTCATAATTATATCGAGGTATGAGTCAAACATCTCCAACAGTTAGATTACTTTCTTATAATTGAAATGAGATTTCATGTTTTAAATGCGAGTAAATAAAAACCAGTATTAGTGGGCATGGGGATATATAATTATATATGCAAGGAGGTAGAGCTGGTAGATAGTAATTTAAGTAATCTTTTTGCACTTCGATGGAACTTAAGTCTACAGTAATAGGGACACGTGAATTAAGGTGTACTATAAGTAAATTAAATTACTTAAGTTTTATCACAAATATTTTCAATAACAGAGTTCTTTTCATTGTTGAGAACGAATATTTCAGTGTAATTTATTTGATTCTAATATTGAATAAGATATTCAATATACATATAATAGATTGAATTAATAAACTACAATATCATCATTGTATTAGTAGAATAGAATAACGTTGTTTAACTTAATAATTTAAGCTAGTGAAACTTTCATCAGGATATAGCATTATTTCATATCATTTCGTTCCTAGCTTTGTAAATTTTCATATCATTTTGGCAAATCGAATGATATTTTTTATTGGTAATAATCAAGTTAGGACTACAAAAGTTTGTGGGTAAAATGTAAACAGTAAACAATCAGCATTTTTTATTTAATCTACATTGTGGAATAACATAGCGCACACTACGTGTTGGTGTTAAGTATTTACATATGTTCATTTATAATCAACCTTATTTATCATTTTCATTCGGTTTAGGATTGGGTGTAGAAGTAAATAAACCTAGGTCTAACAAGGACTGTTGTCGTAACAAGGGGCTTGATTGAATTAAATCAGGTAAATTAACCGGTTGAGCTGTGGTTACAGATGTAGCTGTTCAACATTTTTGGCGTGTCATAAAACTGATTTATGTCATCTTCACAATTAATTAATATGTTCTTGTCATCATCTAGATTTCTTACATATTTTCGGCTGCCCTATGTCCAACAGTTTTTAATTTTTTCAGTTTGAAGAGTTCGCGTGTTTTTTTTATACAGCTGAGATTTTCTGTGTGTCAAGGCTTCATTAATAAAGATTTTTGTTTTATTTGTTACGACCTGTTTGGTTTATTGTTAAACGGTCATCTCGATCGTTTAAAACATGGTTATTTATAATATCTATAGTATCAGATTATCTGTATTTTCACCAGCTCTCTCTCACTGATACCACTGAATTTAAGGCATGTTCGTCTAGAATATTGTTCAAGTTCATCAATTTTATTTTCTAAATGGTCGAGGCGACTAACTAAATCTTGAGTTAGTTTTGGTTGGATTAAGTGAACAATATGGCTCATTATGACTTCGCGTTTAAATAATTCACCAATAAATGACTGTCACGACCCATCATCTTTTAGAACATTATCTAGAAAATCGTTTATACTGTTGGAATCATTTGGATTTGAATTTGAAGCCATCTCCCTTCTTGATCGTTTTGGTTGTCTTGATTTCGTCATTAGTATTTTATATACAACTTATACACCAGTCTAGCCTTGTAAAAATAAGCTGAGTGAACTCGCGTGAACTGTTTTCCCAGATACATGTATTATACAGACGATTTTATAAGTCAACGAAAAGTCTCCCTTTTTGCATAGGTTTGTCACAGTTAACACATTAAAAATTAATTTAGTACATACTCAATTTACTCAGGAAGTTTTGATAAATCATCTGAAATATAACTCTATTTAAACGGAAGGAGATTGACTCAACACGTCCACCTCAGTCGGCCATTGTTGTTAGAAGTATAATGCGTCAGCTATTAGGGCGGGACAATTTCCATTTTTGTGTAATTGTTTCGTATAGGCACCGTTTTACGTCAATACTATTCTAGTTAATTGTATTAATCCGTACAGTGTTTTTTTGTTAAAATTAATAGGATATAGACCCACACTATAAGTATTTTTTCAAAAACAAAATCTAATATAGGCCTATAATATAAGTAATTTTTTTTAAAAAAGAAAAAAAGATATAAGCCTATGCAATGAAAGGTGTTAATTAAACAATATACAGACCCCATAATTAAAGAAAGATAATATAAGACCCACAAAAACTAACTTATATATCTTTGAACTTTTCTAAAATTACTAGAAATTGGACGCAAACATAGGCATGTGAATAGCCTTTTTTAAAAAAAAAAAAAAAAATGAAAGAGCCTAAAATTACAGATTATACTGACCACAAGACGAAAGAAGAAAAAAAATAACTGAATAACACATCTTGAGGGGTTTTTTCCTCTAAAATTAACTGTAAAATTACTGAAAAGTAAAAGAAGAAAATGGTGTGAGGCCTATATATTTTTAAAAAATAAATTTGGACTGTTTTGAATTTAATGAACACTGAAATGATGAATTTTAAATTGTAAAGAAGAATATTTGATACAGGCTTGTAAAATATAGTTAAATAATACAATCTTATATTTTAAAAAAGACAAATTTGTGCTATTTTCTCTGAAATTAAAACTGAAAACACAGAATTGAAAAGGAGAAACTAGGTTATAAAAAAATGATATCAGTAGTATTTTTAAAGAATATGATCTCGGCCTATAACAGTAGTTTTTTTAAAGACGAAAATATGATATAGGCCCGTGCAGTGAAAGGTTTTTATTGAAATAGTATGCAGATTCCATATTACAGACTACTAAGAAAATATTCGATCCCACCCCCCAAATAAATTAACTTCTATATCTTTAAACTTTTCTAAACTTACTAGCAAAAATACAACTTGGCATTTAATGCAAATCTTTATATATATATATACGTAGACTCTAGTATTACAGACTATGAAGATCATATTATATAAGACCACATAAAATAACTGTTCTATGTATCTTGACCCTTTTGTCTCTAAAATACTAAATAGTAAAAAAAAAAAAAAAAAAGAAAAAGAAAATGGGATTTTTATATAAAGGTCCTAAAAGTTAAAAAAAAAAAAAAAAAGGAGAATATAGGTCTAGATGAATGTATGTAGAAAAGGGCTTTGAAATTACATATTAGGATTAAAAAGAACGCACAAAAAAATTATCTGAACAGTATTTAAATTTGAATATTGTAATGCGCCATTGCAAAGACAAATTGGTTGTGAAAATACTGCTTATACTTTTATTATTATATCATGGACTCTATATTAGATTTTATGTATTTTCTTTTACCAAAGGGCGTGATACAGTTTGTTATTCATAAAGATTTAAAGTAAATAGTACAACATTCTGAATACAACTGACTGATTTCCAAATATTTTTAAAATCCATAGTCAAAACTATATTAAATAAACAAGGGGTGACATCTTACAATTCCTTTGCCATCATATGATTTTATTTTTTCCACGCAATAGCAACAACATTTTGTTATTTCAGAATTCATATTATAGCTTCTCTGCCACAAAAATTGAAAATAATCGATTAACATTTTTTATCCTGAAATGAATATCTGCTGTTAGTGTATATAAGTAATAACGGCATAGGAATATTTAATATCAAGGGGAAAAAATAACACAAATAATAATGGTAAGATGTAAAATTGAGACACACGGAAAAATGTCACAAGTAAAAAGAAAATAATTTATTAAAATTAAATAACAAATGAAAAAAATGTTTACATTGTTTTGATTAAGAATTATATCATTCATTACAATAGCCGAGGGGTCCTATTCCATAAATGAATGTATTACTAATAACACTGGTGTAAAGAGGCTAATTTTGACCTTTTATTAATCATTGTGTGAGAAATCGTCCTCGATAAGTCGCTGAATAGTTGTCAATATTAAGTATTCTGCTGTAGTGTTACAACAAAACATCATATAAAGTTGTCAGTCAGTGTCCTGTTTGTATGGGTGTATTAATAACAAGTAATGACTCATATTATATCATCCAATCCGCTAACGGTCGAGGAAACGGGGGAATTACCCTATACATGTACTACGGAACAGCTTAATGCAGCCATGTTATAATCTCGCCGAATGGTTCTCCAACACTTGCACAATCGCCCTCGACTTCTCGCGGCGAGAGGTCAAGATTATGATATTCGATATCTTCAGTTATTAAACTTACCGTTATATACTGGTTAAAACAAATGAAAAGAAATCAAATGGGGTTTAATGTCTTGCTAAAGAAACGTGTATTCTCTTGGAAAAATTTAACGCTTTAAACGTGTTCATCAAAATGACACAATTTTTATTGAATAAAATATTATTTATGAACTTTGATTTTATTAAGTTTGGAGTTAGATTCATATTATTTTAGTAGATTTTATCTAAAATGCTTAAAATCATTTTGTAAAACTCACCTATACGGTGGCTGATAAGGGATAGGAAAAATAATTTTCAATTTTGTTAAAGTTTGCTTTTTGTTATTTTAATTTTAATTTTTTGATATAATTTCTTTTTCTTAATTGTCACTCTAGCCAATTTTAATATAATTTCTTTTCGATAATTTTCATCCCAGTCAATTTTTATTTTCACCTAAGTAATTTTCAATATAAATTTTTTTCTTCTAATTTTCACCCAAGTTATTTTTAATTTATTCTTGAATTATCATCCGAGAACATTTGAATTCCCACCCGAACCATTTTTCACTTATTTTATTTTTTATAATATTCACCCGAGTGGTTTATAATTATCACTCAAGTAAATTTTAATATGATTTCTATTCTGTTGAATTTCCACCCAGCGTACGTGTGAGGTCATTTTATCTAGCCTCGCTTGTACGAAAAGTCGCGTTTTTAGCTTGTGAACCGTCTAGAGTTCACAATTTTTATCAGATTTAAAAATCCGGTTAGTATATCACCGATGCACCTAAATGATGGTAAATTTTAATATAATTTCTATTCTGTTGAATTTCCACCCAAAATCGCAATTTTTATTCAAATTTTTAAAAACCGTTTTAATATATCACCGTTACACCCTAATGATGCCCAGGTTCGAATTTTGGGAAAATCGGACCGAAATTGCCAGACAAAATGACAGCTATGGTGTAAAAGTATGGAATTCCAAAATTGTGAACACTCTAGAGGTCACAATTTTTATCTGATTTTGATGAAACATCCTGGATTATGTCTCCAAATTTTACGGAAAAAAAACACGTTTTTAGCTTGTATTCGTAAAAGTCGCAATTTTTGATCCTATTTTAAAAAACGTTACACCGTAATGATGACTGAGTTCGAATTCGTGATAGTTGGAGCGAAACTGCCGGAAAAAACGGCCACTCCTTGTACGCAAATAGTGTAAAAGTATGCAATTCGAAGGCTGTGGACACTATAGACTCTAGAAGTCGCATTTGTTATCCCATTTTGATGAAACTTAAAATATATATTTTTATATCTCTCAGACCTTGGTGCTTTTCTATATTTTCGCATATCAGACGCTACGTTCCTTGATTATGGCCCCTGATTTTACGAAAAATCTCTGTTTTAGCATGTAGATCCTCTAGAGGTCACAATTTTTATCCGATTTCATAAAACGTTTCAATATATCACCATTACATTGGTCCGAATTTCGTAAAAATCGGACGAAACTGTCGGATGGGCGCTCCTCGTACGCAGATAGTGTAAAAGTATGTGATACCAATGCTATGCTGTGTTATCAATATGACTATGCTCTAATTCTTCCTGGCCATAGTTACCTCTCCTTACTGAAAACATTCTGAACGCAAAGTTTTCTGGAATTTAATTTGAAGCATTGAGAACATAACAGAAATGTCATACCCATCACCTTCCATTTCAGAGATACCCCACCATCTCCCCAGTCCTGCCTGTGATTTTAAGAATTCAATGTCAAGCATTTTGATAACCAGGGGACGAGAACTATCGATTCTGCCTTTCATCTCTTGTTAAATGTTGGAAGATATAGCGAAATGTCTGTTTGCTTTGTACAGTTTCAGATAACCAGATAATCATGGCGTACTCGCAGGAAGCGACAAGCAAGAAGACAAGTAAACAAGGTCGCATGGCCAGAGATGACATGGCAGAAATGAATATACCACAAAAGGGTAATTTCTGATGAACAATGTGCTTTTTATTGAATCACCATAAAATGGCTTTCTAGTCCCCTTTCTTGTATATAATTTTAATACACCCACTTCACCCACATAAAAATGTGAAAGCTCTAACAACTAAAGTTATCATCCGATCTGTATTTAATTTACATGTACTATTTCAATTTGTAAAACGAAGATGCCTATCGCATTTAAGCAATTTCTGTTTATAACTCTTAGAGTTATGGCACGTGTTTCACTTTGTTGAAACTTGTGAATGCTCTAAAGACTTAAGTTATCTTCCGATCTATATTAAATTTACATGCTTTATTTAAATTAGTAAAACGAAGAAGAGTTTTGAATTTCACCAATGTCCGTTAATGCCTTACAGTTATGACCCTTGTTTCACTTTGATGAACCCTGTAAATGATCTAACGGCAGAAGTTATCATTAGATTTGCAGAAAATGAATTCAGTGGCTTGTAAATTCTCCCATTACCTACAAAAGAATACATATGCGTCAACCCTTGCTGACTTCTCGGATGATTTAACTGCTGTGGGCGAATGTTTCATATTTTCAAATCGCAGCCTATTTTTGTTTTTTGTAAACCAAAAAGCTGTTGTATTCAGTTTGTACTACATACATACTACATTCAAATGTGGTCGTATATTGTCGTCTCCCCCGTCCGTTGGTCCATTCGCTCACAATTGCTGGTGGACGCTCTAGAGTATTGAGGCTTCTATAGGCGGTAAATATCCGATTGACTTCAAATTTAGACTATTTCAACAATTTCCGATAATTACTGCCAGAGTTATGGTCATTGGCCATTGATCACTATGGCAAATCATATGGACGCTCAAGAGACTGAAGTTAATATCCAACTGAGTTCATGTTTAGGTCATACAATTTGCAACGATTTTGATAATTACTACCAGAGTTATGGTCCTTGATCACTTTGCAAAAATGACGTGAAATCTCTCCTAGAAAAGAGCCATTGATAACTTGAATAGCTAAATTCGTGAAATTAAATGTGTATATTAAACGTTAGCATGGGGCAGAATTAAATGCCAATGAAGGTCATTATGTAAGATTTAGATAAAGAACTGGATGTCGTAACTATAATAGTTAAAAAATGAATATATTGAAATTTTCATTCAAATTACTTTATTCTGGGCGAAGATATTAGCCTTTGAATGTTTGACAAGATGTGTGCAGAGGTTGTAGCCACCACACAGGTTGTTCGAGGCTTACCCTTCCTTCGCCATTTTAAGATTTAATTTACTGAAAATAGGACCAATATGATGTCATCGATAGTTGATTATCGTTTTGTCGATTAGCTCTTGCATAATGCATGTTTAATGGGATGTTGCTGTTAAACAGATTTAAGTGTGTTGTAAATGTTGTAATTGCCGACACAGACAACAAATATGCTGCAACCCTTGTTCACTGCAACACTATTATAGATTGATGTTTTCCAGAAATTAACATTAAGATTATATGACATGGTAACATCAGAAATACGATGTCATAACTTCAGGGATAATATCTCGAAAAATAGGCATTACACTGCAAACATAATTAATTGAATTTTAGTTTGTTAATAGTAATCGTTATTATCTTAATGACTGATAAACAAACCGAGTTGTTATAATATTGTTATTATAGACACAGGTATAATATTGTGGTGTTTATTTTCTCAGTAGAATACCAAGAGAGCTCACCCAATGCTGAGAGGAGAAACGTTATACCTAGAAGAGAGAAGGGGAAGATGTTACCTGAAGATGAACGTAGGATAATATCTAACCATGTTTATTTAACCCAGAATCTGGATCCTCTACAACCATTATTGGACAGTTTATTTGAAAAATTTGTACTAAATGAAGATGACTTGGAAGTAATCAACAAAGCGAAATCTGAGGGTACCAAGGCAATGATACGTAAATTTCTAGATATTCTTCGGACTTGTGGTACAAATGCATATTCTAAATTCATCCACTGTTTAAATAAATTAGAATATAGAGCAGTAGCCGAACAATTAGCATCAGGTAAGTAAAATAGCACAATGTACATATGATACCATTATTTACATATTTCAGTTGGCTTTTTCATAACTAAATACCATGTAAAAAGCGGAGAGTATTAAATGCATCTGTTCGTCTGTTGATTTTGGCAACATATTTCGCCTTCCATAATGATAATTTTCTGTCCGTTCACAAGCTCCAGAGAATATTTAGCTGATTGAACTAGATTTATACACGGTGTTTAAAGTTATGAGATGAAGAAGACTATTCGATAATTACTACGTTAATTATGGCCCTTTGAAAAAATTTGTGGACTTTCTAGAGGCTACAGTTAATATCCATTTGATTTAAAATTTATATACAATGTTTAAAAGGTTATTCAATAATTACTGGCAGAGTTATTGTCCTTGAAACTTTTGAACAATGTTGTGCATGTTTTCGAGACGAAGTTCATTCAAAACTTGAAAAGCTTTTTAATTTACAATAGTTAATGTTTTGTTCGAAACGTTGTCATGGGGCAGAACTAGAAGCTAAACAAATTGTAATGATTTCTGATAATTGCTTAAAATGGAGTTGTCACTGGTAATCAGTTTCAAATGTTTTAGGTATGTTTCGTTATCTGGCAACCTATCTTTGTTTACATGGTACGGTTCTGAACTTACTAATATATATGTTTCTATTACAGATACTGATGATACATATGATCACTCACTAATAGATGAAGAAAGCAAAGGGCTGACAATTCCAGGTATGTCAATGTCATTACGTTTTAGCCATTTTAATTAATAATTGAAGAAATGGCAAGCAATTTTCGAGTCGGACTGTTTTTAAGCCGGGGTGTATATCTTTCACACAGGCTTTACTGTTAGCTTTCACATGTTGTGAAAAACCATGGTCAAGGGTTATAAATATAATTAAAATATAGTTATTTATAAGAATACATATGCACGTGGTCCACATTCATACCAGGCACAGTGATTATTGTTGTCAATGTTAGGCAATAATAATGATAAACCATTATGACAATATAAATTAATAATGGCATCGTGGTGTTGATATACCATTAATAACAATATGGTGCAGATAAACCAAAACATGATCACATGCATTTGATTAATACGAATTAAACAAGTATTAACTACGTAGACTAAATCTATAAATGGTACTGATTATCTACAACACAATGATGGCAAAATGTAAGCGAAAAAGCCCTGATTTACAATTTCGTAATAGTTAGTTTTGCATATTGGCACAACCAGATAAAAAGTCTATGGTATGACTTTTGTAACAATCTGGTTATAAGCGTGCAATAAATTTAAACGAAATGAAATGGGGTTCGACACCTTACTTTTCTGAGCTATTGAAGACGGACATACCTGATACAGTGTACTGTGAAGGAAATTTGGCCCGGTCAGAATCTTTTTTACTGAGCCTACGCCGCACCTGGTTAGCCATGGGGCATGACCCTCCCCCCCCTCCTTTATATATTATCCTGATTTAAGGCAATATTTTATTTTGAGATATATTATTGTGGTATTAATTTTCCGTAAAGATCATCTGGGTACATTATTATGTAAAAGTTGAGTAATAATAATAATCCGCTACTTTGAATTTAAACATTTCAAATCCAGTCAATGACCAAACAGACTTTACTTTGCTTAAGTACAATTCAGTACGTAACTCCAGAATGATAACAAATAAAGAAAGCAGTGATATACTAGAATGGAAATATACATTTTTAAAAATGACTGATCTGTTCACCGACAAGTTTATAGAAAAATAGCACATGACGACGATGTTTTTAACGGTCTAATTTATAGAGATACTGTAACAGTGTTAAATCTTCAAGAAATAACTTCTTTTAATGCCATAAATACTTTGATTGTTCCAAACATATAATGTACAAGACGACGTAGTTAATGCCCTTAGTTAGCTTTTGTTTTTAGGAGTTATCTAAACATTTATATATTACAGTAAATAGAACATGTAAAATCACCAATTTACCGGATGCTGTAGCAATAGAAGGACGTAAAGGGCTTATATTTACTGTAACTGGTGAAACATCCAATAATCAACCACTCAAATTTAAATCGAGTTGGCATCCCGAAGAAGCTGAACAATATTTCATTCTCTATCCTGAACGTATGTATACGATTAAAATATTTGGAAAGATTATCAAAATGAGGGCCTCAGAATTTGTGCTTAATTTATTATTTCTATGGAAATGTCAAACAAGTGTCCCTAATTCTTTGCAGGGCTCTTAATGGTTGTTTGAATAAATAAAGGCAAAAATAACTAATTATTTGACTTTAGATGCTATATGTAAACTGTTGACTGTGTATAAGAACTTTCAATTTCCAACTTATCAATTTGGTTTTCTAGACTTTTTGAGACCGATGAATATAATTCGAGTAAAAACAATGCTGTAAGAAATAGATACTATATATATACATTTCTTGATTTACGTTCAACCGATATATATTGGATTGATATATGTCGGTTTATTTGGTACAATTTAGCTGTTTCTGTCCTACAATCAAATGATACTAGAGTGATTGATAAATACTTGTTACTATATATAGATTAATATTTTACATTGTAGACGATGAATTACGTGTACAAGTTACGTCAGATCCTGTGTTTTCGTGTAATTGTGTGACTCTAACAGTTACAGTTAATGACGGTATGAGTGATTCACTTCCAGCTAACCTAGAAATTGTCAGTAAGTTCAATATTTGTTCTAAGAAAGCATTTGTTTAGAAGCTTTGTTTTGTATTTCCAATCTGACTGATGGATTACAGATACTGGAAATAAATATTTTAAAGATTATACTTCAGTCCCATTATGTGGGATTTGTACTAAAATTCTGTACTATTATTCTACATGTTCATAAATATGAATGGATTTGTTTCTTAACACATGCATATTTTAATACACCCACATGTTAATATAGTCCTTTACACCCACTTGTTAATATAGTCCTTTATTTTAATACACCCACATGTTAATATAGTCCTTTACACCCACTTGTTAATATAGTCCTTTATTTTAATACACCCACATGCTAATATAGTCCTTTATTTTAATATACTCACATGTTAATATAGTCCTTTAATTTAATACACCCACGTGGTAATATAGTCCTTTATTTTAATACACCGACATGTTAATATGGTCCTTTATTTTAATATACCCACGTGTTAATATAGTCCTTTATTTTAATACACCCACGTGTTAATACAGTCCTTTATTTTAATACACCGACATGTTAATATAGTCCTTTATTTTAATACCGCGATGGCCCCATATGTTGAATTCAGTTATTTATTGTGTTAATGCCGAATTACTAGCTGTCTTCATTAACCCAGTCGGTAGAGAAAAGTAGGACGTTAAAACCCATTGAAGGCAATGGACAGTTTATTACCATATTTGTATTGCCCACAAGAACTGATTAGTTCCTATGGATAAAAAATGTGAATTTATAAACATACTATTTGTATTTATGTATTTATGCTAGATGCCCTCATAAATAAAACAACGAAAGAAGCCGAAAAGGGTTGATAAAACTAGAATCCGATGAGAGTTCTAACCAGGGTATAGGGGTGTGTGGCTATGTGCCCTTCCTTCCGAAAAAGTGTCCCCGAATTTCGAATGCCAACACCAATGTTATCATATTCCCATTGCCCCAATGATAATATTGTGCCCTCTTTTCCCGCTGCCCTTTCCTTGTTCCAACCAGGTCGTTAAGTACTTGGTGGTTACTATGTCCATGTTCAGATCTTCAGACCTTAATCATAATCCCTCAACCAAGTGTCAAAGTATGGTGTGCCATGGCTCAGCTATACCTCAGATCAAATCTAATATGTGCCACAGTTTCATCCCTCACCTACCCCCTGAGTTTGGTCTGCCTACCCTACTTCCGAGACGTCAACACGCCTATGATATTTCCTCTCAATTTCAGAAGCGGAAGTGCGTGTAATATTAATTGGGAAAACTGGTGTTGGTAAAAGTGCCCTGGGGAATAGTATATTGGATTTATCAAGAGATACTAGATTTAAATCTGAATCAAGCGCTGCCTCGGTTACACGGTTTAACTCATGCAAACATCGTGTCAGAGAGGTAGACGGTGAAAAGTATCTTTTCAGAATACTTGATACTCCGGGGTTATCTGATACCAAAATTTCACACCAAGACGTAGCAATGGAGCTTGCCAAAAGTATAGATGGTCTGGCACCAGGACCCCATATATTTTCGTTTGTGTTACCTATTGGTAGGATTGATAGACATGTTTTGGAAACCATAGAACAATACACAGATTTATTTGGGGAGTGCCTAAAAACATATGGTGTGATTATTTTTACAAAAAAAGATGCACTTCAAAAAAGGTCATTTACAGAATATTATAAAGATGCAAATCCAGAATTTAAAGAATTCCTGGAAGGTTACTGTGATAATCGACATTCTCTTATCAACAACGAAGACCCTCAGCCTGATGATGTTCATGGTATTTTAAGACTCTTGCTGGAAACAAAAAGAAACAATAACGGCGACCACTACAGAAATACAATGTTCGAGGAAGCTAAGAAGTTATACCAAGACAAGCTCCAGAAGATAGAAGAAGAGAAAACTAAAGTGGAACGGGAACTTAAACAACAACTAGAGCTGAAAGAAGAGCAAGAAAGAGATTTTAAGCAACAACTAGAGCAGCTGAAAGAAGAAAATGAGAAGAAAGAACAGAAATTTAAAGACATGGAAAGAAAGATGAAAGTATTGGGGGAAACTGTTATGGAAAACCAACAGCTAAAAGACGAAAACAGTAAATTGTTGGAAAAACTCAACAAACAGAAGCCACCGGATCATGAGACACATGTCAATTCTGTGATGCATTCACAACCACCAATCGTTGAAGTGGAAAAATTAAGACGTACAGTAAATATTCAAAACGTAGATTTCTTAAAGCTATGTAATCTTCTTTTACAAGATGACTATTTGAATGAAAAAGATAAAGAGGATATAGTTTCTTCAGAACCCTCAAACGATACAATGGATAGACTAATGGATATATTAAATAAAAATAACAACAACAAGGCCTACGTCATTGTTATTAACCATTTAAAGAGTGAAACTACCATGGAAACCACCAAAACAACACAAGGTCAGTTTAAAATCATCACCACTTACATATGTATTATAATAGATGTCATACACAAAGCAGGATGTGCATTCATTTCTGAAACCAACAAACTCAGTTAAAAGACAACCATACTTTTTTTCCACAATGAAGCACTTACAAAAGCAGACCCCAAAAAAACCTAATTGATTAGGTGCTAATGTAGGATATATATATATATATATATATATTATTTAAATTAATGAGACGAACAAGCCTATGGAATTTCATCAATGTCCATAAATTATTACCAGCATTATGACTCTTGTTTCACTTCGCGGAACCTTATGAACGCTCTTTTGACAAAATACTCATCAGCCAATCTGTATGAAATTGATGTGCGAATTATTTAAATTAGTGAAACAATTATATTTAATTTGAATAACCTCCTCACAGGTGGGACGATTTACCCAATACCACCTCAATATCACCACATACATGTACTACAACATAATGGTGCAAAATGAGTATATTAGCCTAGTTATCTCCTTTTACAACCAATAATTAGATTCTAGATTGCTACTCGGATTAATCATCTGGTTAGGCTTTGCTGTTAGTTAAAGTAAGTTAAAATAAGGAAAACAGGTTATTATAGATTCCCCCGCTATAGTTTATTATACAATATTGCACGTTAAAGGCATATCAATATATAACATAACATAAAGAGTTTTAAAATAAGTTAATAAAATTAACAGAGATTTAAAAAGGCATTAAAATAAAAACAGTTTATAAAATAAACAGCCAAACACCCATATAAAAAGAGTATTTTAGATGTTGATTTAAAAGTGTTCATTTAACGGTCACGTGGCCTGAAAAAGTCTTCTTATTTTTGCTCTATTCTGCACCCCGATGATTTTAGTATGAAAAAACGCAGTCCTGTAAAAAATCATTTGGGTATGTCAGGAAAATGCAAACATTTATCTTTATATCTGTCTTCTAATAACTTATTTACTCCTTTACTTTGTCTTTTAAATGATTCCGGTTTCAATCAAACCAGACGCCTTTGAAAAATCCCCTTTTGTCAAATTTTCACCGATTCTTCGAATGTCACTATTGAACAAATTGTCTGGTATATATTCACAGGTGACGAAGTCGCGGTGATGTCATTACCATCTAAATGAATAAACGCCTCCCACTGCTAAAGACCTCTATACGCGCAGGCGAATTATTGAAATATATCCCCGAAATGACCTAGTTTGTGTCGAGTAACGATTTTAATTCTGAAAAAAATGAATATGTGAACTTTTATCTCTAATGGTATGGGTTTTTTTTTTTTGAATATGTGAACTAGAATTAAATTGTTTCTATGGGATTTAGTAAGTGAACAAGAAATACAAAGGACATACTTCTATTGAATACAATTAGTACTAAGTATTACTGATCTTTGATTAAAATCTATATCAGTTCAAATAGCCACCTTGTTTAAACTTACATGTCTTAGATGGAGTTTAATTTAAAAACAACATTTTTGTTTGTAATTGTTTAAACTTACATGTTTTAGGTGAAGTTTAATATAACAACAAAATTCTAAAACGTCGTTTTTATTCGTAAAACTGATTTAAATTTTGTGATTTTTGTTAATCTGCTGGATTAAATATATAAAGTTATTATTCAAATTTGAAATAAAAAGATTGAGATATAGTTGACCATTACATAATATTTGACTTTTGTCAGATATATAATATTCAAATAAAAGGATTGAAATATAGTTGACCATAACATAATAATATTTGAAATGTAATCTTTCAGTTACTCATTACTTATTAATGTCCTATTATCCATTAGATTTCCAATACTTCAAACTGTGTAATGATTATATTTCATTTCCACTGACATCACAATTAACCCTGGCCTGTTCTACATACTGCAGTTTCGAAGATAACTTTTTGCAAATTGTTGAGTGTTCAAATGAAAACGAAATCAGATCAATAAATTGTTAAATAACGTTGGTATTTAATCTAGTTCCGCTGGTATTATGAAACACTTTTGTAGTCAATTACTAATTTACCACAGTTCATTTTGTAATTGAATCATTTTATATTGAAGATGACCCTAGACATGATACAATGGTACAGACAGATCAAAGTGACAGAATAAAAACAGAAACAGACACTGAAAATAAAGCGAATACCAATATTGAAGAAGCGGCTAAACCCGATATATCTGGTAAGTACAGACAGTAGCATGTTGGTGATTAGAACTCTGTGATTCCTTTAACTCGGGTACATGGATTGAAAAATCAGAAAAAAAGTCATAATTAAGGATGTGTCCGCAATAAGACCATACAGGAAGTGATAAGGCTCAATTTTGGGATTTCATCCATTTTTGTCTATTGGCTTACCTAGTGCCTAAACATACGTATATAAAATGTTAGAGTGATTGATCCACCCATGGAAATGCTGAGATGGCTTTTCCGGTCTTGAAAATGGTAAAAAATCTGTAGTTTCACTTGTTTTTTTTTACCACCAATTTCAGTACTTAATATCTCATTGATGCGAAGAGTCAACTTATCCAAACTGAGCAGACATATAGATCACTTTATTTTACATCGGTAACAATATTTATCAGTTGTAAAGGGAGATAACTGCGTAAATATTTCAATTTTCATCAAATTATCGAACATTTGTTGCAGTTATTATACTAATGTGCTGCTATTTGACGATATTAGGTTTGTATTTTATAATATTTGATAAGTATTTGGTAGTACTGGGTTATGATTTGCTTGTTTTGGGTGATATAGAGAGGCAAATGAAACAGCCAGACATCGGACCAACATTTGAAGACCATTCGGACCAAGCTTAGAAGACCATTCGGACCAATAATAGAAGACAATTCGCACCAAGACAAGTACGTCACCACTAAGACAGAAGACCACTCCGAACAAGACCACTCGGGCCAAGACAGAAGCCCATTTGGACCAAGACCACTCAGACCTTGATTAGAAGACCACTCGGACCAAGATAAGAAGACCACTCAGGCCGAGATTAGAAGAGCATTGGGACTAAGATAAGAAGATCACTCGGGCCGAGATTAGAAGAGCATCCCGACCACGATTAGAAGACCACTCGGGCCAAATTAAAATAAACGACTACTCAATATATTGTTATTTATTTATTTAAAAGACCAATTGTTGATCAGCCATGCACCCAAGTAATGTTTTCTTGAATTTTTGTTGTTGATGGCCTTCATCGTCAAGGCTCTCTCAGTCATGCTTAAATTAAAGAGGCATCAACCCCTAAAGTGGAGACCATGTGTTGGTACTTGATAACTGTCCTATAGCCAGTTTTGTAGTATTTCAATTGATAGGTTCACAAGATGGTCTGGTACGAAGACAATAATAACACTATAGTTGCAGTTCTTATGTCTATGATTCATTCAATGATGATACTTGTTGGTGGCAAACGTTTGTTTCAACCCAATTGATCTATCCTGATCTAGGCTTAGAACTTTTCAGACCGTCATCATATCATAAACTTATAATACAACTCAACCTAATATTTTGGTTAACAAATATTATCTTTATTATATTTTACGGGTAAGTATTTTTGCATATTTGATTTAACCGATGAATGTTTTTGAAAAAGGCCAACTCAAACCACGTAAGAAAATATTAACGTTTATAACGTGATTATTAAAAGGCCCTACCAAACGATAATACATTGATAGAAAGAAAAGACGAAAAAATGAAAAACTTATTTAAAATTCTTATTTCGCTTAAAGATACTTTCTCAGAAAACTTTTTATCGGGTAGTTATTTCCAATAAAAGTATGGCAATTGTGGCATATATGGAAAGTAGAAACATCAAATCTTACTAGAAAAATACTGGATTTCCTGAAAAACACCCATGGAGCGCATACGGGACAAAAAAAGAAGGGTTTCCCTAATCAGCAACCCGGGTGACGTCAAAGGTTGAACGCGAAGATTGTCGGATCTCTCAGCGTTAGTGAGCGCTTGATGTATATGTTGATAAACTTGATGGTGAGCGGACTAGTAAAAAGTGAGAAACTTAAACGTACAACATTTTCTGAGATAAAAATCGCGGGAAAAGACGTGGACAGTGGATAATCCGAGAATTTAATTAGGCTTCAATATTTATGATAAATGGACAGCGATTAAAGACAACATCGTCTGTATATGCGATGAATCCTCCTGGATTCTTACCCATTGCTTTGGTACCGCGTCAGTCAAGTTACGTGACAAATTTTAATAGATTTTTAAATCTTAGGGTATTTTGACACGCATTCCACGACAAGCTTGCAATAAAAGGCAGTACAAATCGATAAATATAGTACAATGTTAACGTTCTCTTGTTTATCCAAATTCGGAATTTGATTAAAACTTATATCAGTTCAAATAGCCACCTTGTTTAAACTTCCATGTCTTAGATGGAGTTTAATTTAAAAACCAACATTTTTGTTTGTAATTGTTTAAACTTACATGTTTTAGGTGAAGTTTAATATAAAAACAAAATTCTAAAACGTTGTTTTTATTCGTAAAACTGATTTAAATTTTGTGATTTTTGTTAATCTGCTGGATTAAATATACATAGTTATTATTCAAATTTGAAATAAAAAGATTGAGATATAGTTGACCATTACATAATATTTGACTTTTGTCAGATATATAATATTCAAATTTGCGATAAAAGGATTGAAATCAGTGATGGGATTTCAAAAAAATTATTGTCGGACATTTTTTCCCGAAAATAAAGGGGCATAACTCTTATCGTAATTTAAGCAGACGTTTTCAAAACACAATAAAGAATCACGTGTCAACAAGATATATTCAAATTCATATGTAAAAAAAATAGGTGCACCTCGTTATATTTCATGTTTAAAACCCGTACGGTATTCAAATTTATGTCAATAATATTCCTACAAAATTACATGACATCAATACTATAGAATGGCAGCGTGCCGACTGCTGCCGATCTGTTTCAAACTCCCCCAAAATTACCGTATTTTTCGGGTCATACGTCGGTACATTTTTCAGCAAAGTCCGACATTCGTCTGATACTCCGTTTCGATTTATATATGGAAGGTAAAAAAATGACATCCCAAAATTTATTTGGCCGTAAACCGTAGTTAACGACGCTCTAATACAACGAGCGTGCGACACCAACTGCTAAATAATTGCATTCGACTGTAGCATGCGCTATCGTCTAAAACAATTAACTACTCACGTCATTCCAATCGAAATTTTCGTCAACATTTCTTAGCGTTATATGCGTGTGTGTGAAATATCTTTATTTAACTTCGGCTACCACCGAAAATATATCACAGACAAGTTATTGGATACAATGTCTGTTGATTTGAGGTGTTATATACTATCAGGATATGTGACATATATGACTAATTTCTACGTGTTATTGTCCAACATAAAGGAGATTAAAACGTGAGACAATGGACAAATCAAAGGTTAATCAGATTAAGTTTATAATCACTCTTATTGGATTGATATATCGTCCGACAAAGGAGAAGCAATGACATCTGTTCAGGATTGATTTGATGAATTGTCCGACAAAGGATTAAGTCAGCCAATCAAGGCAGAATAGTAGTTAATCAAGGTAGGTGTGTAGACGACATAACACAATAAATAGTCGATCACTTAATTACCTAATCAATCCAGCCTATTATCAATGATAATCGGGTTGCACGGTAGTTATACACTCAGTACACTATATTAATTTTGGAATTTGAATATTATTCACCATGTCTTGATGTCCGATTGGGCATATTCCCGGTCGGACAATTTTGGGCGTTTTGAAAAAAGATTCAGACAAGTCCGGAATATACGGGTAAAATCCCATCACTGATTGAAATATAGTTGTCCATTACATAATAATATTTGAAATGTAATCTTTCAGTTACTCATTACTTATTAATGTCCTATTATCCATTAGATTTCCAATACTTCAAACTGTGTAATGATTATATTTCATTTCCACTGACATCACAATTAACCCTGGCCTGTTCTACATACTGCAGTGTCAAAGATACCTTTTTGCAAATTGTTGAGTGTTCAAATGAAAACAAAATCAGATCAATAAATTGTTAAATAACATTGGTATTTAATCTAGTTCCGCTGGTATTATGAAACACTTTTGTAGTCAATTACTAACTTACCACAGTTCATTTTGTAATTGAATCATTTTATATTGAAGATGACCCCAGCCATGATACAATGGTACAGACAGATCAAAGTGACAGAATAAAAACAGAAACAGACACTGAAAATAAAGCGAATACCAATATTGAAGAAGCGGCTAAACCTGATACATCTGGTAAGTACAGACAGTAGCATGTTGGTGATTAGAACTCTGTGATTCCTTTAACTCGGGTACATGGATAGAAAAATCAGAAAAAAAGTCATAATTAAGAATGTGTCCGCGATAAGACCATACAGGAAGTGATAGGCTCAATTTTGGGATTTCATCCATTTTTGTCTATTGGCTTACCTAGTGCCTAAACATACGTATATAAAATGTTAGAGTGATTGATCCACCCATGGAAATGCTGAGATGGCTTTTCCGGTCTTGAAAATGGTAAAAAATCTGTAGTTTCATTTGTTTTTTTTTACCACCAATTTCAGTACTTAATATCTCATTGATGCGAAGAGTCAACTTATCCAAACTGAGCAGACATATAGATCACTTTATTTTACATCGGTAACAATATTTATCGGTTGTAAAGGGAGATAACTGCGTAAATATTTCAATTTTCATCAAATTATCGAACATTTGTTGCAGTTATTATACTAATGTGCTGCTATTTGACGATATCAGGTTTGTATTTTATAATATTTGATAAGTATTTGGTAGTACTGGGTTATGATTTCCTTGTTTTGGGTGATATAGAGAGGCAAATGAAACAGCCAGACATCGGACCAACATTTGAAGACCATTCGGACCAAGCTTAGAAGACCATTCAGACCAATAATAGAAGACAATTCGCACCAAGACAAGTACGTCACCACTAAGACAGAAGACCACTCCGAACAAGACCACTTGGGCCAAGACTAAAGCCCATTTGGACCAAGACCACTCGGACCTTGATTAGAAGACCACTCGGACCAAGATAAAAAGACCACTCCGGCCGAGATTAGAAGAGCATTGGGACTAAGATAAGAAGATCACTCTGGCCGGGATTAGAAGAGCATTCCGACC